AGGTAAGGTAAGACCACGTTTATTTAGCTTTGAACATGCACATATTTTGCGACATACCGTTACAGATGGAGCAAAAGGTAAATACAGTACATTTACCATAAAATTACATCGGTTACACAAGCAGTTATCACCTGTTGTCATTCTCTCCTGTTGCTGTTCACACCTGGGAACGAGTTCTTGATACTTGGTCCTAGTGCCCCGTCTGACGCCTGAATGATTTCAACTTGTTCAAAATCGCAGTCGGTACTTCTGTGAAGCATATTCGACATTTTCATTAATGTTGCACTCCACAGAAACAATCTAATACCTTTGGAAGGTATTCTGATGGTATTGATGTCCATAATGATTTCAAAACATCTTCAAAGTGGACTGGAATTTCCCAAATTATGAAGAAAGATTCCGACTTTCGTTTTTAATAGCAGTGGACGCTCATGTTTCCCCTCTACAATTTAAGAAAACAAAACTACACACTATATATGCTGTACATTTTACTACCTGCACTTTAACAGGAAAGGAACGAAAAGTGTCTGGCCTAAGACGTGTAAGTAACATTTTGAAGAGAACTTTGGAATACTTGGCCATTCATAATGAAATGAAACTTGCACATTTAGGTATGCTCGTACATTTTGGACAGCAAAATGGGGACACTGCAAATAAACAGACGGTCTGTTAATTTGCCGTGTCAGCATTTAGCTTTATTGACTTACCTGTAAATGCATTTTATAATGAAATATAGTGTATAAAAACATGTACACTTAGGTCCAGTTTAAATCTTTTCATGTACTGAACTTCAGGGCCCACAGAGCGGATTTTCAAGCGAGGGGCCAGCATTATCATTGATACAATGGTATATTACCCCAATAAAACAATTGGAACCAATGCTATTTTCAGCACTTGTCATGAGATATGTCTCCGAAAAATAGACCTCGAAGATGAAAATGCAAACGATTGCAAATCACTATAATAAAAATAACTGAGTCTAAAGAGAACAAATCCATCTACCACGTTGAACTGACTAGATTGGTCTTCCTTTGACATACACATAGGTTGAAAACTTCTGATTGAGGGTGTTGTTATCTCAATTACTCTTCAGCGATTCCTGCAACAAGATTTTGCCTTTCGAACACCTTGTCTTCTTGCAGCAGATCTCTATGGTCAAGTTCAATTTATATTCAAGTTCATTAGATTAGTGTTAGGACTATTTTTAGGTGTTGACTCAAACGGGCCTAGAGTCCAAGAAGGGCTGGCAATAGGTGAGCACGGAATTGGAACGGTGGTGGGGGGGAACTCCCTATGATGGCCTATACGGGGAGGCTCCGCCCGAAAGGGGTATCTTTTTCAGGCTTCAGGTATATGAAAGGGTAGGCATTTCACTAGATGAAGTATATGAAAGGGCGAGTGCGCTTATTTCAGCCTTAGCAGCATCTTTGGCTGTTCTTAAAGAAAAAGGAACAAAGTTTAAGAATTTAAGGAAAAAGTAGAAGGACGTAATTTTTCAGAAATTAACATACACAGGAGAAATTTCACCCCTTTAAGTATAAATGCTTGTAAAAGTACAGGTGGAACCGAGGGGAGAGAGGGTGGATGGTAAAGTAGGTGAAAAATGGAGAGATGGGAGGAGCACTTTGATGGAGCACATTGTTCAAGAGGGTATAAATACAAAAAAAAACAGCAATCTGGAGGCATTTTTGAAGACTTAATAAAAACGTTATCAAAACAAGAAAAACAGAAAAATCGTGTCCAATAAACCTCTCCGGCAAAGGTGTGAACATGGTTGCTGACTGCTCAATCGCATCGTACTCTTCTCGACCCTTTGGCGTCAAGTTTCTTCACGTTTCTTGTGACAGGAGGAGCAAATCGGCTATATAAAGTTGAACTGAACATTCTGGTACTTTTAAGTCTCACTAACTGTTACAAAACCAGAGACATGTTTTAAACACTGTTTATTAGGCCATCCCAATAACATGTTTCGTTTCCCATCGCCCTCCCTCTCGTGAAGGTGGGTCGGTTGGTCGGAAAAAAAAAAAAAAGAATGAACGCATGATTGCATATTAAATCCCACGTTTAGTCTGCAAGATAAAATCAGATGGTATAAGATGTATATTATCAGGACTATCAAATGTCTAAAAAGGCTACAAAAAAGAAATATCGATGATAATTTCAGATAATTGGCGTTAATAAGACAAAATCGTGCGCTTGTACATTAAAGTACTTGCTTCTTTACAAGTGATTCTGGAATTTGTTCTTTTTTTTTACTTTTCCAAACAAATGGGTCGGTCGGACGATGGGAAACGAAGCATTAAATTGGGATGGCCTTCAGTTTAAAAAAAAATTTATTGCAAGAATGAAATAGTTTTTATACACGTCCCCAGGACATTCCTCTTAGAAAATGGCAGGGGCGGGAAAGCCCTGAGGATGAGGGTGAATCCTGACTCTGTGTAGAAAGTTCTTTCTGTTTTTGCCATTTATAATGCTCTTCAAACAATCACCAGAAAACTATCTTTTACAACACACGGATTAACCTTTATGTAGAGTATTTTAAAGATAAGAATTGATTAGGGCAAGATACACGGCTGTCAAAAAATAGAAATAAATAAACTGTCTTTGCAAGCTCAAATAAACGGGAAACGAATATCAGAAAACATCGCAAGGTAAAATGTTAAATAGAGAAATTAGAATATCTCTGTACGTTTGGAAATTTTTTGCATGAAGAAGAAAAAAGAATGATACTTACATGATGCAGCAAAACTTTGAATTATTTCGCTCAGTAGTTATTATTTTCACAGTAGTTTTTTTCGCCAGTATGATACAGAGTGTGACCGGGGTATTGACAAGACCTTAGGCTCGATTTCCGCCGTCTCCAGGTCCCTTGGGGACTCATTTTCCAGCACAGCGGCGTACAATTGAGCCTAACAGGACCTTGGCGCTCGCAAAAAACCTGCCAAGTAGGTGTCTGTGCCTTGGGCAGATTGTCATTTTAGTGTTAGCCTGTGTACACCCCTCCCCCCGCCCCTTCGGAGAAGGGGCCCCTTCTCCGATTTTTCCTAAGGGGAGAGGGGTCTGGACAATTTCAGTTCCGAATACCTACCAAACCTCTACTCTCGCTAAAATGAATTCATTCAGTCTTTGACTTTGCCACACTTAGACAAGTGACAGCTGGCTAAGTGAGACGTAATATCATTCATGCACTCTGCGACCAACACATTTCCCTCCACACCCCTAATGGGACCACACGGAAAGAACAGCTTGATCATATGAAATAGACGGATAAGCCATTTCATTGACACAATTATATTTGAAACTGGCACCTGTTGCATTATAATTCAATTAGATTGAAACCAAAACAAGATCATCTTGGGAATACGGATGTTATACCC